CAGAAAACTTGTAACGGTTTAGTATTCCAAAGGATAAACAATTTATTAGTGTGTGAACAGCTTGGTATCTCCTTAATAGTTGAACATCAATTTTGTAATTATGCTATATTAAGACAAAAAATACAGAATTTTGGTAATTTGTCATGGCAAAATCAACTGCCATTATATTAAATACAACTGTTTTGACCCGATTACAAAGTTTTTGTTAGCACTGCTTAGTTACAGAGTTGATGGTAACCTGCTCCACATCCTACTGACCCGGAGTCAAAGAGTTTGTGAATGTTACTTTTGTGACTCAGGAGCACATTAGAAACTACATATTTATAAAACGTGTGTTATAAATGGTAGATCAAAGTACTGCACTAATCACTCTTAAATGTGTATATACCAACACAGTTAAATATATGTAAAATATTTGCCTACTGTAGTAAAGTATAGTAGGCATTGAAGGAAAATTGCAAGAGTGTTAGCATTGCATGATGGTCTGTTTTTTAAATCTCTCATTTCATCTAGTTTCTTGCAAAGGATAATTAACTGTATTCAGCACTGTTATTGTAAAAACAGTAGAATGAGTGGTTTGCAAAAATTCCTGCATAAGCACTTAATTTTGTCGCATTTTTCTCCTAAACTTTGTCTCAGCAATTACCCTTTCTATAATTTTGAGATTAAACACAGCAGCTCCTTCTTGTTATTCATTTTGGAAAAGCTGTGAGACAAAGTGTCAGGGGAGATTCAAATTCCTTAATTTAGTCGTACAAGCCAAGGATGAAGTAAAACAAAAAACATGTTAAGTAACATTTACAGTAGGTGATGTGTCTCTGTAATTGCCTTGAGATGACTGAAATCTTTCATCATAAATGCATTTATTATATTTAGATACAAAGTCACCTCATCCTAACAGAGAGGAAAATAAAAGACGAAAATGCTTTAACTGCTGGTAGTAGTAGTAGAGGGTAAGACTAAAGTTTTGATTGTCATGAAACTTTCATTTGAGCCCATTAATCAAGCTTGAAATTGGCCCCTTCAGTAGATGAACAACACCAGAGAGTGATTTTTATCTTTCAGTAATACCTTTCAATGATTACTGCAAAGGGAGGAAGGTAGACCTAAGCAGTACCCTTCTGAGAGGTATTTAGAAAATCTCTTTGGTAATTTATTTGAGCTGTTGGGAGCACTTTACTTAGTTTTATGTGTTTCTGGAACAGTACATTAATGCATAAAAACTCCATAGGCATAGAACAACAACAAAAAAAGAACTTTTGAATTGCACACACAAACTTCAAGCAATGAGTTGGGCCTGGTTAAAGGCAGAAATCAGAGAGGGGAAAGAGGGCTTCACGAGGTGGGAAGTGATCAAAAGTAATTGGGTATTTCTGACATTTTGTAATGTGAGAGAAACTGACAGAACTGAAATGGTTTTGAAATGTTACTTGCAAGTTTCTATTTATGTTGATAAAGCATTATCAATACAAACATTTTGAGATTTCTGTTAGGCAAATTGGGCAAAGTATTATCTAGAAAGAAGTCTAGAAAGTATCTAGAATGGAAAAAAGTGTGGAAATTTTTCAACTGCACGTTCTTCTCAGTACATCTCAGTACAACGATGTCAGATGACATCGTTGGATGTCATCTTCATTCTGGTTGCAGCAAATAATAAACTATGCTGCTGCATTGTATTTTCAGAAATTAGAGCTTTTTTTTGCACGTATACATCCATGAATATTATTTTTTCTTAGGAATAAGTATTACAGATTCAGGATATCTCATTTTGTTTGTTTTCAGAGTATGAACTGTTATGACTCTGGGATTTATAGAAAATATTGAATAGCTCACTGAGTCAACCAGTGTACTAACTCCTACATAAACATGTAGGTAAAAAGGGCCCACTTTTACCTTAGCATCTAAGGAGAAAAAAATATGTAGTTCAGTTAAAATAGGTCACATGCTTATTGCTCAGATTTTTTTTTTTAATTTATCGGTGTAGAAGAGATAAAAGGAGAGATGAAATAAAAACTTGAGCACATGAAAAGCAGTTGCAAAAGGAAGCAATTAGTGCACCAAGCCTGACTGTGCAGCTGAACCAGTGAATGTAACCCAGAGAAGTTAAGATGTCTGTTTTAGTTAGATGTGGGTTTGAATATTGTGGAGTCCATCAAAGCTCATACGTTACTACAGAAACTTTCCCATAACATTCTGCTTTTATGCCATACTTTGCTGATGGTAACTTAAGACATAGTCTAGTACAGCAAGTCTGTGAAAAATTAATGTCATGTATCATCATATTGCAAATCTATTTAATTTTCAACCTCTCTCCCTCCTCCCCCACCCTCATTTGTTCTGTAGAAGCAAAGGAAGAAGGGAGTCAACAAAGGTCCGTGAGTCATTATTTTTGGTATGCCAACCCCAATGTGCTTAGGCTCTTTGGAAACAGGAAAAAGAAATCCCTGCCTTGAGTAGTGTCCATCTGCTATGGGCAAGAGGCAATGCGTTGGCAAGTCACTCAGAGTAGTGGTCAGTGCTTAAATGCTTACTGGGGGCTTTCTGTTTCAATAGAGATTTTTTTAAACCTATATTTTTGGAAAGCAGTGGCAGTGGCAGCAACCTTTGCCACTGTTGAAATAAGAAATGTAGCGTGAAATAAAAGAAGAGTTGACAAAAGCAGAATGGCAGTGAGTGACTCAAACAGTTAGCTGATTTCAAAGTATATGGTGAGGTATAAACTTCTGAATGCTGTTGAAGTTCTGTTGTCTCTGAATCAGGTGAAGTTTGCCAACTACAGGCCATATTCCAGGGAGGTGAAAGTAGTCATTTGATAATTCCCATTGACTTGCACCTGGCTTCATTTAAACCTCTTTTAAATCCTTCTGGATGTGTATCTACATCTTTAAAGTGCTCATCATTTTAAAATCTAGGTTTGTATGACAAATGTAGGTTTCAGAAGTTCCAGCTGTAAAGGGTTTTCTTGTGTTGATTATTGCTGCAATTTTTTATTTCATCACTGTTGAGATGTATTCTTTCTATAGTCATAAGTGGTTGTGTTTGTTTAGGGAAGAAAAAGAAAACATACAGCAATACAGTAATATGAATATAATAACATACATAAATAACATACACAGTGTTACTGTTTGCAAGCTCCAGCCATGGTTTTGGAGCTCTGGTGTATTACAGAATGAAAAAAACCCTGTATCTACATCAAAGAATTTAATGTGTACAATGTGAAACAAGTGGAGCAGAGCAAAAAGGAAGACAAAGTAGCAAAGAGATGGCACATGCCTTCCCTCACTCCCTCAGAAAAGTGATAAAGTGTTGAGAAAATTAGCAGCCTTCTTATCTCAGAGATTGTTTGCTATGTTGTACATGGCGGTGAGCTGTACTATAGGTATCAGTCTGGCTTGATGAGAGTGGCAACTCCTTTGTGAAACAGCACATCTGAGTGTCTTTGAGGGAGGTGAATGTGATTAAACTTGGTGGATCTAATCCAGTGTGTACTAGCGTACTGAAGAAAGATTAAAGAAAAGAGTTGACAATATTCTAGAAACTAATCCGAGGTAATTTATCTTCTGCTACAGTCCAAGCTAGTAGTTTTGCCTTATTCCCTAGGGATTTCTGTGTGCATGTCTTGGTAGAGATTTATTTTGCTGGATGTTCACCTATTTAGAAAGCTGTTGTTTTGTTTTGGTTTTTTTTTGTTTGTTTGTTTTTTGTTTTTTTCTATTTAGAATTTTAGGAGCTGAACTTATAAGTTGTCTTAGCCTGGAAACAAATGCTGGTGTAGAAGAGCATGAAGTGAAGACATCTTGTCTCTGTCTCCATTGGAATATCTTGTTTCAACAGCAGTCATTAGCTGGGGGAGATTTGCATTTTGTAATGCAGGATTGCAGTTTTATTCGTCCTGTGTGGGAGCTGATGGAATAAAAATCTCATATTTTGTCCTCTGCCATGTGTGCTCCCAGCATCACCTAAACACAGTCTTGTTCTGAAGATTTTGTAATTTTGTAGTCGCTGCCAATTGAAAACCACGTTCTGTATAATGAAACTCCTATCAAGACCTCAGGTCTGAATTTTCATATTGAAAAACTTGTGTAACAAAGGACAAGAAATCCAATTCATTTCTGCTCTATTGTAGAGTAGAACCACACAAGAACAAGAAAGCTTACTATAAAGAATCTGAAAGGCACAGCTAAAAGAGTTGTAAAAGTGGTGTGAAGGAGACTGTGCTAGAAGCACAGAGCTCATGCTTGCCATCTATCAGAAGGGCTTGAAAAAGGGTGAAAGGAAGTCAGTATGGTGATTGCTGGGGACAAGAAAGCATCATTCAGAAAGCTGAAGTTATATCCAAGTGAAGGAGTTCAAAAGGACCTTTAACCTTGGCTGATTAGAAGTAAAAGCACAAATGGACAAGCCAAAAACTGACTTTGAGGAGCAAGTAGGAGTGGCTGAGTAGGCATGGACTTTTCAGCCTGGTAGAGAGACAGTGGAGGTGAGACATGATAGAAATCTGCAAAATCATGAGTGGCACAGAGAGCATTGGTACCCATTGCTTTTTTTTTTTTTTTTTTCCCCCCACAGTTTCTTGTAACATGAAAATGAGGGGGCATGCAATGTAACTGAAGTCTAAAACCTGAAGTGTTACTTTGCACAAGGCACCCAAGTCCTCCCTTTGGGTTAAAGTTTACCTAGGGTGAAGGAGTGACTGGATAAGTTTGTAGAAGAGGGACCTTTTGGATATTGCTAAATACATTGAAACTGCAGGAAACAAGCTGAGCTGAAAGTAGTGGGAGGCTGTGGAATTGTTGAGAGGGAATATCTTGCATGCTGATATACTTTACCACTGATGTTGCTGGCTGAACTTGCAGATGAAAGTGGTGACTGGTAGAAAAGTGACTGCTTATCCTGTTTTCCAGTAAGGATCAGTTACTCTGGGAATAATATATTTGGAATAGAAGCCCTTAAGCATCTTAATTAAAAAAAGCACTGAAGCAAAAATGTTCAGAAATTTGATGTCTAATGGTTTTGTTTTCATGCTGTCTTCCCAGGAATCTCATGATCACATTCTTTCGGATATTCCTGTCACTAGAGAGCAGATGAATCACTATCGAGCTGCAGCTGAAACTGCTCAAAGTGAACTTGCAGCACTTTCAGTGAAGTATGATTGTGCCCAGTCAGAGGTATATTTAAAAATACTTCCAAATCCTTCTCCAAACCTGAGGATTCTCTGCAGTCACTTTCTGCAGAGAATAGAAAGTTTTCAGAAAGTTCAAAACTTCTTGCTTTTGTTGCAGAACTTTTGTTTCTTGGAACATATAATTTCCATGAGATTTTTACTCTGCTTGCTTCTACATTCAGGAACTGATTATGAGCTTACATTTGAAAGATTTGAAGCAGTGTAGCTTTTTACTGTCACCTAAATCCAGTCTTTTGTAATGAAACCTGAAAGTTAATATTTCTAAATTGTGGTTGTATAAAAGTTTTGATAGATATCCTCCTGCTGCCAGTGAGTTAAGATATAACTGCCCATCCTCACCTATTCCTCCACTTCAGGCATTACAGCTCCCCGAATTTACTTTGCTTTCATCACCAGTGAAGTTGTGATTGAGCTAATGAAGTTGATTTTAACTAGAGAGGCTGATGAACACACGTACATCTTTTCCTGCTGTCCTTGCTGTGGGAATGGTAGTTCTTAGGAGAGAGGATTAGAGGATAATTTTTAGAGTTTCTTTATTTTCACACTTATTTTTTTTAACATATGGCTGAATAAGATTGGTTTGATCCAATTCAGCAATGCGGGCAGTGGTCAGTTTTAAAATGGAGTAAAATTTGCCTTTAGGAGATGTGAAGTGCTTACGTTTTTTTACATACATAGATGTAGGTGTGTACCTTCATAAATATTTGTAGATTACATAAAGTTCAATAGAAACTTGTGAACATTCATCCAACTAGTACTTTAAACATCTGTACATGTTACAAATGTGTATTTCTATTGCGTATTTTAAAGTACTTTGCAATATACTTGCATAGCACATGAACATTAAAGAAGGCTTTATCAATGAAATACGTCTTTAATTGTGGAGGATGAATATGGGAAACAGCAAGAACATGTAATATTGTATGAGAATGAATTGTTAATACACTGTCCAGTCAGAGCTACAGGAGTGAGTGTTCATCATCTAAGCTTGAATTTGACGAGTTGATCCTGAAATTGCTGCAGAGTTCCTCTACATTTAATGGCTATCCAGGATCAGTACTTTACATTTCAATTCTGAAAGGCCATACGGAATCTCATGTTCTCATAGAAAGAATTTATTACTGGAAATGTTGAATGGCTTTATTGCCAGCGTGATTGACTGATTTATAGATTCTTTCAGCACCGTGCTTGCAAAAGTGAAAGAATAGTCAAGAAAGCAGCTGTTCGTGCTCTTGTTAATAAGAGACCTTCATGACCCAGCTGAGGTCAGAGCTCTGTTCTGCTGAGTGCTCTGTAAAACTCACGATATGGGATTATTCTTGCTTTTTCTGCTATTGGAACTGACCACAAAGACAATGGACAGAAGAAAAAATATCACATTTTGCAGATGGCGAGTTGAACCACAGAGAAATTTTAAGGTTGTGAACACTTTAAGCTACCATAGCTTGGTCCAGCTGCCAAGCAAAGCAATCCTATTGTTCTTTCAGCTGCTTGTTTCCTTCCCCACACTGCCCCATCCCTTCTGTTGGCACAGATATATTTGTAGTTTTACAGGGCACTTTGTTGTTGGGGAACTGATGCAATGGAAAAATAAAGCCTCGCCTTCTGAGTTGTTTTTAGCCGGATCAGTTTCCCAATCTTATTTCACCTTCATAGCAATAGAAGTGCTTCTGCTTGTACAAAGAAAAGGTTGGAGTATGGAAGTGAAGCCCGTGAGCCTGGGAAAAAGCAGAGCTGCTTTTCTCAAAATCAAGTGCTGCTTTTTGTCAGCTCCAAAGCATCTGATAAACCAGCACTTGCAGGTGAAGCATAAGCTCATCAGAGACTATCCTGCTGCTGCAAGAGAGATCCTCCTACCTGAGTCCTCAGTATTAGCATTTTCTCTGTGATATGGCCAGCTCCCCTTCCTCTTCCTCCTCTACAGAAAGTGAATTCTTTTCTGTCAGCTGCGTTAATTGTTTGTGGAGGAATCAGAAAAATACCAGAGCTGGTGCGAGGGAGAGGACAGGTGTACGTGGCTGGGAGCAGGAGAAACAGGTCCTCTCTTTTGCAAGGCAGTTGCCCTTCAGTTGGCTCACCAGCCTCCTGGAATTTCTCAGAGTATCTTGGGTTTGGTCACACTTGGAAGCTTCTGACAGAGTCGCAAATTTCTTCACGTCCCGAACTGCAGTTTAATGTCTTAAATAATCGTTGCCTTAAAATGTTTGCCACAAGTTAAAGGCCCCAGCACATGTCATAAAGAGCAGTTAACATGGTTTAATTATTTGCCTGTTAATTTTATGTAGTAGGAGATAAATGCTTCCGATTGCATCTTGCTGTTTATGATTGGAATTATCAGGAAAGTTGAAATGACATATGCCTTCACACATCTTGTTTCAAAAAATCCACTTTAAATTACTTGTTCCTTTTAACAAAACAAAAGACACTGAAATTTTATGTGCCTGGTGTGTCTGCCTCAAGCTCAGTCTTTTAGAGACGCATGTAGCAGAAATAGTTGAATGGAAAATGGTATTTTTAACTAAAAGAGAGAGGAAAGTATAGAAAAAAACTGAACTCCATGAACTGTTGGGAAGCTCTAGCATCGTCTCTGGAACAGGTCCGTGGCATTTGGCAGTGGTGTCCCTCCTCCCACCCTTTCTTAAAAGGCTCTATTGCTGTTTCTGTGTAAAGCCAGCTACATTTGGTTGGATTATCAGACCAAAAAAAAAACTATTTGCATAAACTGAGAAAAGGTTGCCTACAGCACAACTCTCCAAAATTTTCTTTGCCTCAGAGTATGCTGTAAATCATCAAAAGGCTCCACTCTCATAGAACAGGTTACTTTGCTGTTACAACTCCCCACTGCTATAGATTATCTATGTAGTCGTGCAGCAGAATTGGCAGCAGGGAGGAAGCAGGCAAAAAGGAGGGAATAGTGGTGTTAATGACTGTATTGTAATGCAGATGCATAAGGGAGGCAAGTTATACAGCAGAACTTAAGATGGGCTTTTCCTAAATTCTGAATTTGTAAATAAATTTATCTTCCTGTAAGAGATGATCTTGAAAAGTTGTGTTACACGACAGCAGGTTTTGGTTTTACAAACCCCGTTCTTCTATAGCTTTTTCCTAGTTATATGGAAATAAAGTTGTGTACCTCCACTCAGTCTTGTATTGATAGAAGACTCTTAGTCTTTTGTTCCAAAATGTGTTTCTTGTCACATCACTAAACTTGTAATGCAGTCATGTATTTCAGCCTGGGGAAAATTATTCTTCCTTTTTAATGAGCTTTCTCCTTTTCTGTCTATAGCTTCTTGAACTCAGGTCCAGAATAGTCTCTAAAGAAGCCTCTTTTCAAGAGCTGAAGGCTGAAGCTGAAAGCTACAAAGAGAACAATGCTAGACAGACGTCTCGCCTCCTGTCTTTGCAAACCCGAGTTCAGGAGATGGAGGAAGAGGCATGTGTGCTCGCCACTTCTAAAAACCAGGCTGAGCTGACAGCTCAGGCAGCATTCAAGGAAAACTGGGAGCTGAAGGAGGAGCTTCGTGAGCAAAATGCTAAACTTAAGTAAGATTCATGTGAGATGAGAAACAATTTTTTTTTGGGATGACAGAATGGTGCAGTTGTCAACGTAGAAAAATATGCTGGTGGACAGACTTTACTGCAGGTCTAAATTCTGTTACAATGCCTTGCACAACTGTTGTACCTAAGTGTGTGGAAGGTATTGGAATTTGAATTTTGATTTGAGTTGTTAGCCCATGAATGGGGTTTTTAGAGTTTTCTGCTTTGGAGGAGAAATGATGATATGAGTCAGCTTGGTGTAACCTCATTATTTAAAAAAAATGAGCACAGAGGGCTGTTTGTCTGAGCGCAGTAGAAAAAATTCATATGGTTTCCTCATTCAGATGTTTCCACGTATGGCACTGAGGCAAACTTTGTGCCTTTCATAGCATGCTAGTGATGAGCAGTACCTGCAACTATGGTCTAGTGCCCTGGTCTATCCTTATCATGTGGCATCTTTTACAGACATTTACCTGTAACTTGATATGCTGCCTTAACTTTACTGTTCTTAGTGTGTCAGAGCACCGATTTGTCAGTTCTGCATAACTTCTAATGTTTCAGGTCTGTAGGATGGAGACCAATACCGGTGTTGATCACAAATAAAACTGACTGGTGTGAAAATATTCTGAACTTTAAAATTCCAAAATCAGTGTCAGTCACAGTAAATTAATAGAAATCTTACAGACTTTTATAATGGATTTTTTTCCACCATTACAAGGCTAATATCCATGTCTCTGTCAATACTGTCTAGTTAAAAGCAAGGTGAGTGTTCACCAGATGTCTGTATTTCCCAAATAAGTATTTTGCACAGCTCCTCCAGGCTTTGTGCGGTAGCAGTGGATAATCAAGTTATTTTAAAATATAGAGAAATCCATTGCTGTGCACTTGTCTATTACCAGCTGATTTGCCAAAAGCTCTGCCTAGAGAGTGCTGATGTCAATTGCCAAACATTTTAGATATGATCCCAATATAAGTGAGGAAATAGTTAAGCCAAGACGTGTATTATGCATCCTAGCAACATAGAAAACATCAGAGTCTCTGAGATAATGGTTGTTAAGATTTTTTAAAATGCTACTTCTGGGGAAAATAAAGGAAGAAAAAAAAGAAGAAAAACCTCCTATCCTGTTTACTTGACTCACTGGGAGAAGGCTGCCAAAATACTGCGTATCTTACTAGCATATTGTTACAGTGATGTGATCAATTTTATATGGCACAAATCTGTGCTGTCACTCTCAGTACGGTCCTGGCTGCTCTGTTTTGCCCATCACACTTGTGTCCACACCTCTGTTTATGTTGCTACACGGTGATTGGGACCAGGGAGCTGCTCCAAGAGAGAAGTGAGCAAAATAAAAAGCTTAATTTTCAGCTCTAACAATCCCAGGCCCAGTTTGCTGTGCACCTGGAGTGTACCACTGGAGTGCTGGCAAAAGGGAAGGGACAAATGGAGGGTGAGTCTGCTCTTTTGGAAGGAAGAAACATGTTGGACTGGTCATGAATCTACAGTGTATGCTTTCAAAGTTTTTTCTCATCCTCAGCTAGTGGTTACATGTGCTACTTAATACTAGTCAATCTGTTGATTTACTGAACTTTAGTTGCTTAGCCTGGCCACCTTGGTAGTACATGGCACATGACTAGTCCTAATTAGGTATTCAAGAAAGATTTTCACTGAAAACTGCTAACAAAAGGGAAGAGCAAGCCAGTAGGCATGAAATGCACATTTACATTCTATACCTAGGAATATAGTAACAAATGTTTAATGAATTCTGTGGTTGGTTTCCAAGATGTACATCTCTCCTATTGAAAATGTTGCTTTTCTACTCAACAGCTCTATTGCCGAGATATTTTTAGAGCCTGAACTGTGAAAAGCTTTTTTTTTTTCCTTTTCCTCCCCTTCTCTTTGCTCATTAGTTCTGAAGAGCTAGCAAAACTGTGAAAGAGCTGCATTCTACTTTTTTGTACCTGATTGGATATTTTCTAGGTGCTCACACCTTTGTGGCCCTACTGGAGGTAATTAGGTTATTTGTAGAGTTGTCAAGTACATGCTCTGTACTTCAGATTGTTTATTTTTAGAAGCAGGCATGGTTCTGTGTGTGGTATGCCTTGATTTTTCAGAGCCACAGAACAGTTTGCTGAGTTGATGGTCAATCTCATACAATATTCTAATATATAGGTATGCATGTATGGCGTGTCTGGAGCTTCATACCTTTTCACTTCTGACATACCCCTCCTCAGGACAGCAGTTTAATGGCCATCTCACAGCTTCATTTTGCTGGGGCTATTGAGGAAAGGAAAGTGCCTGGAGGTGAGGGAGCTGTGAGGCATTTGTCTTCTGAGGGCCAGTGCCTGCTGCAGAAGACAAAGCTCTTTTGGCTCACGGTATATGCTGTGCAGTAGTACATGGAAATATCCTTGTCCTGTCCAGACCAGTAATTAATATTTTCCATTCCTCTCTGTTATTTTTCCACTCTCTTCCACTTTGCAGCATTGACGACAACTGTGCTGATCTCTCTCCTAAGGCAACAAACATCTTAATTTATTTCATGGACCGTCTCTTTTGCTTAGTGACTTATAACCATTTAATGTACTATGTTGGCACTCACTGTGTGTTTCCTATAGGAGTCTTGTGCTGCTTTTTGATTATGGAGTGATGCTCTGTTGCCTGTTTGATTGCTGACCTAGAGAGGAAGAAATCAGAAATGGAAAAGAAGGAGTCCAGAAGTTACTAGGATGCCCACCTTGAGAACAGGATAGTGCTATGCTCTGATAAGCAAATGAGTTACAGTAAAATATTTGCTCTAGACAGCTGTTTGGTGATATCTCATGTCTCATTTTATTCTAGTGTTCAAATCTTTGTGAAGAACTTGCTTTAGAAAGTACCTTGTTTCTCAACTGGAAGCTCAATAGTTTTTTCTTGTGCTATACCACTGAGTACCTCTTTCATGGGTGTTACCTGAGAGGTGTTGGAGTTGATATTTGGATTACCCTAGTGGCCATTTGAGCTTTGTTTGGTTGACTTTTTTTGTTAATCTCTTTCTTTGTAGTTTTTCAGATGTGCTGCTCAGTGTTGCAGCATTGTGAGCGAGATTTGAGTCTATACGTTTGCTACCTGTGCAGATTGTGGCAATACTTGTTTGCTGGACTTGTCATTGTCCCTGGCAACAGGAGGCATGTAACCACATTTATGCCAATGAGTTAAACTGACCCCTCTGTTATTTGGTTGTTCGTTCTTACAGAGCATTTACAGACTGATACCTGCTGTTAAGGCTGATAGCAGATGTTTCATGTGGGATATGTATCTGCATGATAGGCACCTTTTGAGAGTTATGAAATTGGTGTCAAAAAGCTGCCTTTTTTTCATACTTTTGTGTTAGTCCCTTGATATTTTCTTTTTTATCCAATTCCTTTCATGGGTAGTGTTACGCTGCAGAAGACTCTGTACAGCAAAGTCATGTCTCCCATCTCTGTTTGCTTCTGGTAGTAAACTTCCCTTTGCAGGTACTCTGAATGTCCTACACTTCCATTAGTCCAGAGGGTCTTCTCGTACCCTGGAGTTTGTTTATCAGCAGTCAGCTTCGTTAGAGAGGGGATGTGAAGTGCTTTTAGCATATTTTACTATAATTTGAGCACTCTCTTCCCCTTTACTTTTTCTAAGCTTTTGCTTGCGTCCTCCATTTCTAGTATCTTGAGGGCACTGTTTATTGATGTCACCTGGTTCTTGTGTTTTATTGAAATTTTGTGCTGAGAATGAGGTTGGGATCATAGAAGATTCTTTGAAGTGCTTGTCAAAAGCAAAGATGAAGAAATGTTTACACATAAGGCAACAACAAAAGTTACGCGTATTAAATAACAGATACAGAGAACGATATGTAACTTTTAAAATTCATTTTGTGGCATGCAGAAGCTAGCAATAATCTTGGGATAATGTCTTTTGCCTAGAATTCAGTTTCAGAGAACATTCATCCTGATATGCTGTTTTTTTTTTCTGTCTGATTAGTAAATATTTGAATGAGTGTGAAGAAAACGTGACTCAAGCTTCTAAAATCAGCAGAAAGTATGAAGAGCTCCTTACACAGCTTTCTGGATTCTTGGACACAGACATCACAGAAAAAGAGAAACCACAGGAACATATAATGTCAAAGGTGATTATGTGTAGGCAAGAGTCTCTGTATAGTGATTAAATAGAAGAATATTTGGTTGTCAAAGAAATAAAGCAAATGATGAAGACAGGAGTCTTGGTGATAAATAATGATTTACCGACAGTGCTGTCATTTAGGACAGTTTTTTTTCATATTAGGCTGATTTTCAAAGGTGCTGAACACTAGTAAACCTCAGTGAACTCGGTCTCCTTGTACCTGCATAAATATTTTATCAGCCTGTAGTTCCCAAGTACAGCCCTGATTAGAGAGTTGGTTGAAAGTTTTCCTGAAAACAATAACACTGGGAGTCACTAGGTGACGTGTAAACTCTACCGCTAGATCTTAACAGTTATCTCAGCTGACATACCATCAAAGAAAAGCATCTGAAATGGGATACCCTAAAACAACCTTAACTATGCCCTGTAACAAAATGCTGTAAATAACTGTGTGATGTTTTTGAGACTTAATCATAAAACTTCATTATTTCCCTTCAGAATACTTCTGAAGTTCCAAAAACTAAACTTACATTTAGGAAAGAAAAATTGTTTGTATACTTTTTTAACCTTTATTGATGCTGCTGAAGGGCATTTTATCCTAATTTCATGCATTTTTCTCATGTTCTGTCTAGTCTTTGCTATCCCTATTTTTCTTCACTTGAGAGCATACTAGGTATTTTAGGGAATTCTGTTTCATTATATTATTATTATAAGAGTTCTGGCTCTAAGGAATACTTCATAAATTAAGATTATCTAGGTACGTATCACAGTGATTTCTTAAAGTACTTGCCCTCATATTACATGCACATTGAAATTATAATACATACTCTGACAAAACTTGGCTAGTTGTCATTAGAGGCAAAGATGTTTATATTAAGCTATAACTCTTACATGCTTTAAGTTAAGGAAATAACTGGAGTTTAAAAAAAGTATATGTTGACTTCTTGTTTTAATAATGTAGTAATAAATCTAGTTGGGAAATCTAATTTGTGCTGAAAACTGTGTGCATTAGGAAAACGTAGCAACTCATTTTTCTGTTTGGGGTCATGGCACGTCTGTTTAGCTTCTTTTCCACATTATGGTTTTATTTAAGACAGAATTGATCTGGCTTAGTCTTAACAAATGTCTTGCCAGTAGGAGTCAGGGTACATTTTGCCTTATGCACTCTTTGAAGTGCCCACATTCATCTATTCCACTTCTTGGAAATAGTGTAACATATTGAAACAGCCCTAGAATCCTCCTGGAAATGACTCCTTTTTCCAAGGTGTCGGCTGCTTAGAACAGCAGCCCACCAGGTATTTGACCCTGCCCTTGAATATGCTTAAGAAATAGCTTTTACTAACTCAATTCTCCCCACGCCTAAAAAGTTTCAAGCATAAAATGCAGCTTTCAGTTTCTCGTTCCAAATGAAAGGCATAAATCTTAACAAGCCAAACTGAAATGGTCTGCTTTTCACATGAAGTGAGCTATATGATCTGTTTTCATTTTCTGACCTGCTTCATGTCAAGCGCAGATATGCAGCCACAGTAGCTCTCCACCTGTTTAACACATCATAGAGATTGTGTGGGGGTAAATCTGAAGCCCATTACACTAAGGTGTGGGTTTCTGGTGGGAATATGGTTCTCATTTTAGTTGTCTTTCTGCTCTTTTTAGAAAGGAGTAGTAGAATGCAATTATAAATCTGACCTAGGGATCACCAGAAACACCATGTCTTTATTGGGATGATTAGGAGCAGCTATACTGGGGTGAATATATGTCATTGTTAAGTGCTTTTAAAAAGGTACTAATATTTGAATGATTTCTCTAGATCTCTGAAATATGTAAAGAAAATATGACACTGAAAGACCAGGTTGCTGCTCTTCAAGAAGCTATCAATGTCCATGAGATGGAGTCCAAAGCTAGTAGAGAAACTATCATGAGGCTTGTTTCAGAAGTGACCAAGGAGCAGAAAAAGGCAGCAGGATACTATCAAGACATGGAAAAACTTAGTGAGGTACATAATTGCATGACATGTATGTTTGTCTAGTTTTCAAAATAATTTTCAGTAAGAGTTGTAGGAGGAAAAAATGCTTCTGAAAGACTTCTGATGATTAGGGTCTTTCCTAAAAAAAGCATTTTCCTAAGGTTATTCTCAACTCTTTGAAAGCTTCAGAATGTATGGAGATTAAACAATAATATTGTGTACAGTAGATCTGACTTAGATTTGATGTCTTCCGATGGTGCTTGTAAATTTATGGCTTTGCTTCCTTCATATTGTTGTAGCCTTTGCTGTGCTTGCACAAACATGTAAATAAACAGATGGTCATAGAGTTAAGGAGTATATCTGAGGTACAAGCATGGAACAATGAAAAAATGCTCTTTTAAATAATATTTATGTGATATTGCAAGTTTTCTGAGGATTCTTCTACTGAGTTCCTTTAAAAATTCTAATGAGAAATTGAAAGGAATTGATAGGACACTATTTTATTCTTTCTCTTAAGGAACTGTAAGTAAAGTGACTTGTCTTCCAGACACTGCAGATCTTGTTTCACTGCATTATAAACTTGTATTTCATAACTGTAAATACTCAGTTGCCTCATACCCAAAAAGTTGTAGGCAGAAGGATGGCTCTTGCAGGGAAACACTGTTTTGCTGTGAGGAACCCATAGAGGAAATCTGTGCAGCAGGAACGATGCTGAAATGAGAAATGTGAGTTAAGTTGTAAGTCAAATATTCACCAAAGTCACCTAGGTATGATTTAGAAGGGAAAAGGCTGTGATTTAAGGATTTAATTGCTCCAGGAGACCTCCCATTAGGAGTTTTTGTACGTTGCAAAGGATGGACGAACAAAGTGAGCTGTAGCAGTTTTCCTTATTACTTTGTACTTTGAGTGATAACTGTGTAAAGGGAGCAGTTTGCTAAAACCATAATGAAAATTTCCTGCAGGTACTAGAGCAGGGTGGTTAAAGCTGATGGCCAGAACTTAAGAAAATAAGAGAAGAAACTTAGACTGCCAAATATGTAGCTGAGTTGTATGTGACTGAGTTTGTGGAATTTTTTAACGTAAAGGCAACCTTGTGAAAGTAAGTTTTCAAATGTAAAATTACATTGTCCCTACTCCCCTGGCATTACTTTTTTCCTGAACAGAAGACCACCATCATACAATTTAAAGGATATAGTGTTCTGATTTTGTTGTAGGGAAGATACTTAGGAGATGACAAATAGCTGACAGTGTTGCTCTGGAGAAGAAAGAATTTGTTGTGGGAAAGATAAATGCTAAGTACCACAAGGGTCATAAATTTTACTTACTGCTGAAAATACTTCTTACCAACCTGTGTAAAATTTTCTCAGGCTCAAATGGGACTGAGAGAGAACCTGCACCAAAAACTTTAGCATGTCTTTTTTGCAAACATTTTGTTCTCGTACTTGACTTTAAACACAGGTATATGAGTGAGAGGAGTCGTTTTCTCGCTAAGTAAGCCAGAATCAGGAGCTGTTTTAGACCAAGATGAAGGCTTCATTTGTGACTTGTTTTGCAAGTTTGCTCTGACTGCTAAAACATTTCCAAAGTTGAGCTAGTTGTATGAAAAATATTTTCCTATAATTATTGTGCATATGCCAAATACATAATTTATTTAATCCATTTTGCAGAAATGTCTTGCTAAATTATTAGCATTGCCTCTCAAATGAAGTGTGTGCCATCATTGCTTATCTAGATGCTGCGGATTCCTCCAGTGCTGTTTCAGTCTAGCTACTTAAATTTGCACATACTGAGTAAATCTGTTGAGAAGGTTTTGTGTTCACAAAAGCTTATTAAGAAATTCAGTGTTGAAAAAATAAGTAAAACCCAAAAATGCTTTAAATCCACTTATCTAAAGGAGGATGTATGGCATCCCCTGTTCCCCTCATGGGTGTCTTATTAGGTTACAGGAAGGACATCAGTGGTATAAAGTCGGTTTGACTTTGTCGTATACTTTGCTGCACAGTTTAAGGCCATGAAGAGAGTTGCACATGTGACATGTTCCCCTGTGAAGGCAAAAAGCAGAAATCCATACTGTTCCTGTGTCAGAAGACATGCACACATGGTGACATCTTCCTGGACTGTTTTCTGAGCTTTAATTAATGGAATTTCCTGTAACGGAATTTACCCAGCACAGATTGAATACAAGTGACTCCTGCCTGTGTTTGCCTGAAGTTCCCAGGGCCAAACATATTGGCCATCTTCTGTATTATAGGTTGAGATGGCGGCCTGTTTCTTCCAGTTTTCTCTCAAAATTCTTCCTAAATGTACAGAGGCCATCACACTGTTTTGTCAGTCTTCTCCAGCAAGCCTCAGCCACCGCACTGTTCCCTGCCAGCTCTCTGAATCATTGTCAGTTTTTCTTGACAGGTAGTTCTTGACTCCTGCTCACTGGGATTTCTGTGAACTCCCTCTCTTGACTGGGTGCCTTTCTTTATGTCCCAGGAGGAGGCAGCTATCTAATGATCAGTTAAACAGACTGTAGAGTCTGAAATTCTCGATGAAGAAAATGAAAGCCAGTTGGTTACGTTTTAAGGTTAATACGTGACAGTAATTCAGAATGTTCTTTAGTATATTTGATGCTTGAGTATTTGTTGCAGTTAGCTGGTTTTCATTTGAGGAGCATTAGCAAGTGAATGATAATTTTATATGTTCCCTTCTCAGCCTCGTTGCATCACAATAACAAACAGCGAACAACAGAAACTAATGCAGTCTCGAAATTAATATAAGTAACAAAAGCAAGCCACCAAGCTGTTTTTGTTGTAATGTATTACTTTTCTTTTAGAAATCTGAAATTCTCACATTTCTGACTGAATATTGCAAGAGTTTGCTTCTGGGATTGTGTGAACATTGTGCATACCTTTATTTTGGCAGTGCTGGATATCAAATGAGCATTTGATGGAAAATAACTTTTAAATGCTGCCCAGATTTCTAGACTGAGAATCAGAATACCTGTTCTTTCTTTCTGTATGTCCAGACAGTGATTAGTTATGATAATCATAATTGCAGAATTATAACATTCTTTGAGAGTGTCTATAGGTCCTTAAAAAAAGTCTTATTTGCTCTAACCAAGATTCTTTCTTGTATTTAATAAATTCCTGTACAGTATTTATTTAAGGTATAGAAAAAGTTGCCTATATTATTCTTGTTTGAGATGAATTTGCCTTTCATACAGCATTGCCATTGATGAATCACAAGAACTGGTAAACTGACTTGTTCTGTTTAATGTCTTCATTAATGATTCAACCTGGAAATGTTTGTGATTCCCTCTGAATTGTTAATTTAAACATCTGTTTTGCAAATATACGCACCATGCAATGTCTTTAAATAACATTTTTGAAATATAATCAAGCAATTTTAGTTAATACAAATATATCTGTAAGTACCACTGATGCAAAATTAACCAAGAAAATACTCTTCAGTATTCAATACTGACTTGTATTAAATGATGTTATTAATGAATAAAATGTATCTAAGTATCATCTAATCAGTATAAATTTATTAAAATCAATTGATTGTATGAAAACATAGTTAATTAAAATCTAAACTTATTATTTAAGGAAATTCATTAAACTTGAGAAACATGCCTACATTTTGAATATACCCAAATACACAACCACAACCAAATGACTTTGGGCATTTCTTGTCCCAATAGATAAATAAAGTAATGAGTTTCTGAGTTAGAACCTGGATTTTTTTACTTCATAAGATGTCATTAAGAAAATACATATTAAGGACATATTTCAGCAGGCATCACATATATCTTCAGGTTGAATCATCAGAAAAGACAGGAGATAAGAGCAAGCTAGTTTACAGTCTTTGTGGTATAACAGTCGTAACTGGTGCTGCTGGTGTAAGAATTCATCTGGATACCTGCATTCTCTTTTATACTTTAGTATTCCTGTTAAGGTAATGTGGTTTCTTTTATATGTATGTATAATTGCATTAGTATATTGAGACCCTGTTGTTGATTGAGGTGCCAGTGTTAAAAGAGTCATAGAATCATTTAGGTAGGAATGACCTTTAACCGTTAACCTAGCACTGCCAAGTCCACCACTAAACCATGTCCCGAAATGCCACATCTACGCATCTTTTAAATACCTCCAGGGATGGTGACTCAACCAATTCCCTGGGCAGCCTGTTCTAGTGCTTGACAATCCTTTCAGTGAAGAAATATTTCCTAACATCCAATCTAAACCTCCCTTGGTGCAACTTGAGGTTGTTTCCTTTCATCCTATTACTTGTTATTTGGGAAAAAGAGACCAACACCCACCTCGCTACAACCTCCTTTCAGGTAGTTATAGAGAGCAATAAGGTCTCCGCTCAGCCTTTGTTTCTCTAGACTAAACAACCCCAGTTCCCTCAGCTGGTCCTCATAAGACTTGTGCTCTAGACCCCTCACCAGCTTCATTGCCCTTCTCTGGACACTCTCCAATACCTCAATGTCTTTCTTGTAGTGAGGGACCCAAAACTGAACGCAGTATTCAAGGTGCAGCCTCACCAGTGCCAAGTACGGTTGGGCAATCATTTCCCTAGTCCTGCTCGCCACACTATTCCTGATACAGGCCAGGATGCCATTTGCCTTCTTGGCCACCTGGGCACGCTGCTGGCTCATATTCAGCCAGCTGTTGGCCAACACCCCCAGGTCCTTTTCTGCCGGGCAGCTTTCCAGCGACTCCTCCCCAAGCCTGTAGCACTGCATGGGTTTTTTGTGGCCCAAGTGCAGGACCCAGCACTTGGCCTTCTTGAACGTCATACCATTGGCCTCAGTCCACCTATCCAGCCTGTCCAGATCCCTCTGTAAAGCCCTCCTTGTTGATCAAGCAGATCAACACTCCCACCCAACTTGGTGTTGTCTGCGAACTTACTGAGGGTGCACTCCATACCCTCATTAAACGGAACTGGCCCCAATACTGAGCCTTGGGGAACACCACTTGTGACCGGCCACCAATTGGATTTATCTCCATTCATCACTACTCTTTGGGCCTGGCCAT